CTGGGAATTTGCTGTTTTAAATTTTGAGAAATCTATTGAAACAAAAGAAATATTTAAGGGCAGCCCCTTAGGAAGCCATTTCAGTGGGGGACGGGGGGTGGGGGTGGGGTGGGGGGTAGCTATATTTTTTTCAGTTGTGGGCACTTTCAACCACCAAGTTTTACTTGACAAGCAAAACAATTTTCTTAAGGCCACGAACAGTCATCTACTCATTTTCCTCCGTGACAATGGCTAATTAACTTGATACCTTATAAGTTTTTTCACATTTCGATGCGATTGTCTTATCCAGTTATGAACTATTACGTCCAACATTAGTTAATGCTGTTAATTAAGTAATAGTATACCGCTCTAGTTTGACTCTCTTTTGCTGAAAATATTTAGGCAAACCATTTTCCCCGAGTTATTTCTTCAGAACATAGTAATACCAAACATATCAAAATAAAAAAAAAAAAACATTTGACTCGTACCTTCGCCTATCCCCACACAACTCGTTTAAAAAAGAGGGGTGGGGGTGGGGGTCAGTCAGGAAAAAAGAAATCTACCTTAAAAAACCTACTCAACCAAAAAACGGGTGTGTGTGTCGAAACTTGAATCCAATTTCGCCGTTGGGGAAGCGAGGGGTAGGTTCAGTCTTCTTTCAGTATCAATTTTTTTCTTAATCAAACATAATACAGTGCCTTATTCTTTTGCCCTATAGTGCACAAATTTGACTATGCTGCAACAAAAAGTGTGTATGTGTGTGGAGGTGGGGGGGGGGGGACTTTCAATGTACACCCCCTAACCCCCGTTGCTACTTGCGTGCGACCGTAACGGCCAATATTTTATTTAATAGAAGAATATGTGTTTGTTTATTAATTTCTTTCCGTAGAGTCATGTTAAGATTATGATATAAAGTTTTATCTTGGAACTTTAAGAAATCAATGTCGAGATATGCGGGATATTTTGATACATGTATCAGAGTTAAAGATTTCAACGCAGAATGTAACTTATTTATTTCAAATCATGAATTGAATAGTCAGTGATATATTTCACGCTCATTAAAGTTTTTAAAGATTTTAAACATTTTCATAACTTTTGGAAATTACACCCATAACAATTTGTCACATACGTTTGCTCTTTCAGTGATGTATTTGATGTTATCCAGAAATTCGTACGTCTTTTTGCTTAGTCTATATTTTTCCCCTTTGGTTTAAGATATCCTCATTCATAATATCACTGTCGATGTAATATTGTTAATTTCTTCAACATTGGGTATAATGCTTTTGGGAAAAGTCTACAATAGCTGTATTTAATTTCTTAACATATTGCAAAATAGGTTCCAGTGGGATTTCATCCATTCATTTCATCGGAACAATTTCAGAAATTTGAAACAATATTAATTTTTACCATACAATTTCTTTGAATGTATTTATTTGATCATTTTAAATTAATTTTTGAAACGAAATTTATTTTAGCAAAATTTTCGTGGCTTCTCCATCATCCGTATTTTTTCCCTTAGCATATTCTATTACTGTTAATTTAGTAAAAAAAAATATTTGTTTATGTAAAATTTTTGGATCGCCCATGTTACCAGCATCTCTATTCAATCAAAGAGTGATTGTGTCTTTTTATTCGGAGATCTTTTGGCTTGTCTTCTTAACCCCCCGTTTTTTTAACACACATTTTAAAATCGACAGTGTACCGAGAGTTGGTTATCGGGGTATATCAGTATGATAAACTATGGGTTAAAATTACCATGGATAAATACTTCTAAATTATGGTATATGTATTTTCAGGAAAAAAAGTAGCGCTTATAAGAACGGTAATTACTATATATGCATAGATCTCTCTCTCTCTCTCTCTCTCTCTCTCTCTCTCTCTGAAAAAAAATATACATGTTTATGGAATATACCTTTAAGTATCAAGACTTCTTAACATGAATTTAAATTTAAGCATTTGTAAATTGCTCAGAAAACAAATATGCAATATCTTTAATTTATTCATGCATAAACATCGTTTTAATCGCTGTTTCATAGCTAGCAATGTGAATGCCCAATGCTCCGTATATCTACATCAAGTTAAATACTTAATTATGAATAAATTTACGTACTAAATTGTAATAATATCATATACCAATTAAAAAATGCCCGCATCAAGTTTTAAACTTTTGTTACGCTTTGAAATTCAGTTTTATTTCTTGTTTACAAAATGCAGTCAACAAAAATTACTTCCGTGTTTACAATACCGCGACTTTGACGTCGTTTTCTGAGCATTGTGACGTCAAAAAAAGGGCCCTTTTCATATGACGGCAGTCAATTGGTTTCTGTTCAAAACTGAAGACACAAGCCAGTTGGCTGCACTGCCCCCTTGTACCTCAACTTAATCAATGATCATAAGTTATCAGATATCATATTGATAAAATACAACAGACTGTCTTTCTTTTGGCAACACTAAATTTTTAACAGAACATCATTTATCAATAATACTTGTATAATTCTTTTGTCAATTGACCAATTAATTAAAATATTTTTATTGATTAGCTATTATAATATAAACAAGTAACGGGGCGTAACTCCTAACCATTTCACTACTACGTGAGAGTCGAAGTAGTTTTTTACATTTCATATATCCTTAAAATCGTTTAATTTGCCGGAATAAACCCCTTCGAAATGGCGGATGACAGGCAGCCGCATCGACTGTGAAAATTTAATATCAGAATCAGACTAACCAATAATCAAACAACTTATATAGTAAGCATCAATAGAAAGGTCACTATTAATATTCCAAAAATAAATAAAAAATATTGGAAAACAAAAAAGTTAGAAAATACGCTTTTATAATAATAATAATAATAATAATAATAAAGGTCGGCCCTGGATAGTAAAATCTAAATCCCGAAAGTTTCACATTGATATCTTGTACCGTTCTTGAGATTAACCGAAGACAAAATGTCATTTTAAAATCAGGAAAGTAACTTGGCACCAGATAAGAATTTTCAAAAAATCGCTCAGAAACAATAGACACATCGCTGAAAATTTCATAATTCCAAGGTCTAGAAATCGCGTGCACAAAATTTTGGAAAAAAAATAATAAAAAGAATAATAATAATAACTAGATACGATCTCGTTGCGAGCAACGAGAGGTCTTCCGTCCGTTTTAGGAAAAGAAACCCACGTAAAATCGAGCTGAAAAGAGATTCAAAATTTTGGTCACAAGGAGGATTGAAACCATGTCGCCAACGTGAATGCGCTTTTTTTTTTTTTTACTTTTATATCCCCAACGCGCTAACCATTAAGCTATTGGGAGTACTGCTCTAAATATACTTGTGTATACGGTACTTTTGCAACATTTCACCTGTCTAAGAATTATAAAAAGCATTCATAATTTCGCGCCAAACGCCACGAGTAAATATTCGCGCCTTTTCTTTGGACTGATCTATTAAATAGGTATGAAAGCTTCAATTAAATTAAAAAAATAAAACATTCTTAGCGCCTTTATTTTATTTCGACGTTAAGAAAGTATATGTAACACATTATACACATTACATATCATATCTAGCCCAGTTACACTAAAGCAGTGAAACGGAAATTAAGTTTTAAGATTGACACTCAATTGCAACTTACTACTGTAACGTGTCGGACCTGAGCGGTCAGTACGTCCGTGCTCGGATTACCAAGTTTTACTGGGGATACGATTGAATGCAATATATACAGATAATAATATGACACCTGCCTGGTGTCTTTAAATCAAATGACCTAAGTGCTTTGTACAATTATATATCTTCAGTTAATACCGGCACCTGCCTGGTGCCATATGACAATTGCCTCACTATACAACTGACTATATGAGTCAACAGCCACCTGCCTGGTGCCTCTTGATTTAGCCTTTAACACCTGCTTGGTGTCTTACTGCTTACCAAGTTGACATTTTAACTCTAGCCAAGTAGCTACAATATACTTACACAGTATGATTTAACTTTGTAAGAGCTTCTCTGTCCTAATGACAAACCTATAGCTAACGTCACACAACTATATTTTAACAAGTCACAAACTACAGTAACTTTGCACAATTCGATTTGATTGATAAACCAATCGGTTTCTGTACCAAAAGTGAAGACACAAACCAGTGGGCTGTACTGCCCCCTTGTAACTCAAATTAATCAATGATCATAAGTTATCAGATATCATATTGATAAAATACAACAGACTGCCTTTCTTTTGGCAACACTATTATTATTTTCTAACACAACATCATTTATCAATAATACTAGTATAATTCTTTTGTCAATTGACCAATTAATAACAATATTTACATTGATTAGCTATTATAATATAAACAAGTAACGGGACGTAACTCCTCCAACCATTTCACTACTACGTGAGAGTCGAAGTAGTTTTTTACATTTCATGTATCCTTATATCAGAATCGTTTAATCAAACGCTCAGCTGCCTCCATAAACCCCTACTCGCGAAATGGCGGAGTTGACAGAGGCAGCCGCAATCTTGGGCCCGCTTCAGATTTTCAAATATTAATATCTAGAGTTCAGATTAACCAATAATCAAACAACTGATATAGTAAGCATCAATAGAAAGGTCTCTATTAATATTCCAAAAATAAATAAAAACTATTGGAAAACAAAAAAGTTAGAAAATACGATTTTTTCAATTCGCATCTCCTAACGACAGGAAGTATTGACGACGAACGAAAGGTTGCGTCCTGGATAGTATATATCACGATCTATAATCCCTGAAAGTTTCACATTGATATCTTTTACCGTTCTGGAGATTAACCACAGACAAAATGTCATTTTAAAATCAGGAAATGTCCCGTAACTTGGCACCAAAAAGAATTTCCAAAAAATCGCTCAGATAGATCAAGTTCATCTAACAACACATCTTCACTGAAAAATTCGCGCACACATGTCATTCCATCCAGTAGTCTTCTTAATAAGAAGAAGAAATCGCGTGCACAAAATTAGAGAGTCAAAAAAATAATAGTAGTTTCTTTGGATCCTATCATACTTGTTCGGAATGGTGACAAAATCATACCCTGAAATATGGATTGTCGTGTCGTCAATAGCAGTCACAATCGTCAATACATTGCCGTAAGGACGATCTCCTAAAGGGACCACCACGTAATGCGTTCCCCACAAGGTGATTGGTAACAGTTGTTCCAGAAGATATTCTGCTCCTCCTGAGTTGCTCAATGGTATACTTGCTGTGTAAACGATCAGCTTTTCTGAAGAAACAATTCGCGTTCCTGTTATATCACAGCTGTATGTTAGAGATTCTGTTTCGTAACTCTGCAGAGTCAGGTCCAACGTCTCATTTGGACACAAGTTTCCTTCGAAGTTTCTTTTTTCAGGGAATTTTAAGCTGACAGTTATATCATCGTTAGTCGGGTTGCCCAATCCCAGGATACTCCTCCATGTGATATCGTGGTATACCGGGACTACATATTCAGTGCCCAGATAGTCATCACTCAGAGCAAGGAACATTTCTTTTTCCCATGAAAGCTATAACACTTTTCTCGGAAT